CCAACATTTTGTGTGCACAGTTTAATCAATATAATAACAGTAAATAGATAGATAGTAGATAGACAGAGATGGATAAATGGAGAGATAGAGAAATAGATGATAAGATGGAGAGAGACAGAGAACAAAATAGGAAGTACGGTAAATGCAGCATGGGAAAAAATTTCAATAGCTAGCTACGAATTAGCCTTTCTTTCTAAAGCATCATTAATCAGCAACAATTAACTAAAACACAGGTTGCCGATTAAAGTTGCAATGCAAAGCAGATATGACAAATAGACAGGCAGAAACTTGGTGGATAAAATAAAAGTCCATTCAATAAAACAAACAACACAGAACTATCCCCTAACAATAAGAACTACTGGCAATCATTTGTGGGTGAAGTTTACACATAATGGTGCAAAATGTTGCCCCTTTTAGAAGAATAAATTTATCTTGATTAATACAATTATCAGAGTGCCCCTGAAATTTAAATGAAAGAGGGGTAATTATGTCCCTCTTGAACTGGCAGTGCAGCAGAACAGACAGGCAAACATCTGAATAAAATAAGGTTGGACGGAGGTTTACAAGTTTAAGATCACTTTCAAAAAAAGCTGAAATGCAAACACAGACCAGATTGACCTCCTGCATTTATTCTGCATTTATTTTTTTCATTTTTTGGTCATTCTGAATTTTATGTTGGGGGGGGGGGAGAAATGTCTGTGATGCATATAGTTGGTTAACCTACATTTTCCTGGCAGACATTCTTTCAAACATAAATTTCCCCCACATTGTATCTGTACTATGCACAAGATGTTTAGCTCTACATTCAGATTCTTTTAATTAGAGAATAAAACTATAAAAGGGGTTTTACTGCCATATGTGATGCCTGGAAGTGGATTGTTGTAATTGTTGTAACTGTTGTAATTTCTCTCCCTAGAAATCCAGGATTGATCTGCATCCCTGCATGAAGCCAGAACTCAAGTTTTGCTTATTATTGTTATTAAAGGGCGGCGGATGGCAGGCTGCTTTTAATGAATCTCTGCCAGGTCTCTTCCTTGCCACCTCGTAAGAAAAACAAGTGGAGGAAGGTGTTTGCTGATGCAAGTTTGCAAGCTTTTCTCTTCCACAGTCTTGAAGAAAGAGGCAGCAGTTCCTGGGTTGTGCTAGAAACCAACCAAGACATTAATCAGCCCTGATTACAAAAGCCGAATTTTTCTCTGGATTTGCGTGCATAACGTCAAGCTCTCTTTGCACCACATCCAGGTTTTGGAAGCGATTTTGGCCCTGTTGATTTCCAGGATATTTTTTTTTGTACACAATGCACTGAACCACAAAACCAACCAAACAGGGAGGCAGAGTTTGTGCAACACACCTGAGCCACAGATATTTTTTTTAAAAAGACAGTGATGTGAGGGTCAGTGTAACTGAGGCTACTGCTAACAAAACGCAGCTGATTCTGAAACTGCGGTTTCCAGATTAAGCAAGTGATATAAATTAAGGTGACCAACCATCCTCCTTTAGGGAGGACAGTCTTTCTTTTGTAAGTTCTGTCTTCTCTCGAAAAGTGTCCTCCTACATGTCCTCCTTTTCGATATTTGAAGACTAATCTGTAAATCTCCGTATTCGATCGATGCCGATCCGATCCGTTGCATGTGATATGACGTATTTGTATTTGACATGACGATTCATCAAGGCTCGGTACAGTGCGGTGAGATGCGATTATGAACGCATGCGCTCCGCACAGGAGAATTGTTTTGAGGGAGTGCGCCGCGTGCAAGTGGCTTTGTTTACTTCTAATGAAACACTACACGGCACACATGCACGCATTAGACTCACTTCTTTCTCAGTGAATAATCAATCATACACAGGTGAGCACAATAATTCACGTTTTATTAATTCATTATCTATTTAATAATTTCCAAATATGTATAATTTTTATTTACAAGTTTATTCACTTATGTCATTGTTTCAGTTTTAATAATTCATTTTGTTTATTTATATTTTTTTTCCTTCAATTTATTTGTGTCCTCCTTCTTATCGTAAAAAAGTTGGTCACCTTATATAAATGCAACAAAAAGAGGGCTTTTGCACAATTGCCTATTAGTGGAGGCTCCTAGCCCTGATACAACCATTACTGCATCAATAACCAGCCCAAACCCTTCCCACCACAAGAGGTATGACTTTAAGGAATCTCACTGCTCACTGTGAGAATGGTTTTTGCCATTGGAAGAACCTCAGAAATATCACCAAGTGGGGCCAATAACAGCACAGGTCAAGCAGAGAAGCTGGACATCTCATCAAGCACTGATGCATCTTTGCACCTAAAGCCTTTGCACTCTGAATCATGGCTCCTGTGCCACAGCTGAGAACGGGGTCAAATAAGACAGTGACTGGAATGGTGTGATCGATGCTCTGCCTGGTTCAAGACACACATCAGTCTCTATCTTGACTTTAGGACCCATATTTTGCTGTCTGTCCCCCTATCTATGGAGTGTTGTTTTAGAACTGCATGTTAGGAAGCTGTACTTTTTCTTTTCAGGAGAAAGGGATATACGATAACATAAAGAAGAAAAATAAGATGGATAGATTAACTATTAATTGCAATAGTCTCCCCAGTGTGGACCTACTCCAGATATAATGGATGCAATTCCCACCCGATTCTCCAGCGAGGGGCCGTGTGGAATAGTGGTAAAAGGGCTAGACCAGGAGGGGGACACCAGCTCCAAGATCTGAGCCATGGGGTCAGTCGGGGTGACTTTGACCCAATCAGGATTTCTCCACCTAAGCTTCCTTACAAGCTTGTTCAGAGGACAAAATGGTGGGGAAACCAGAATTCCTGGGAGAAAAGTCCATCCATCTAACAAATGCATAAAATGAACACTCTTTAGAGAGCTCAAATTGGGGACAAGTCGACGTAGCCCAGCTATCATTTCCCTCATAATCTTTGCGACAGCTCTCCTATTCCCATGGCAGTCTTGAAAAAGCACCATTTGAAAAGAAACATTACGAAAACAGCTTTTTAGGAATCTTAGTGCTCAGCCCATATTTCTGTCCAATCCCAATTTTCTCATCCCACTAATCCAGTGGTTCTCAGCCTGTGGGTCGGGACCCCATTTGGGGTCAAATGACCATTTCACGGGGGTCGCCAAACAACGCAGTCTGCCATTTTTTCCCCCTTTTCCTTAACTGTGCTACTCCCTTTTATTCTATTGGCTTTTGAAAGCCAATAGAATAGACTCTCTTGAATAGAGTCTAATTCTATTGGCTTTCAAAAGCCAATAGGAATTGTCCAGGCTGTCTCTGCCCTGCTGAGCCCGCCAAAAGTCCCATTCTGCAAACGGTGCTGCACCAGTTGAGTAGTCCTCGACTTACGACCGGTTGAGTAGTCCTCGACTTACGACCGGTTGGGGGTCGTGGCATTAAAAAGGTTGAGAACCACTGCACTAATAAGTGGGCCTAATAATCCAGCCTCTCAGACTGATGCAATTTCCCTTTACTTAGAAATAAATCCTACTACAGTCAAAGGTGATTATTCCCACGTGACCCATTTTAAAATCCCCTCCGTCTCTTAGTATCTTCAGCATGGAGTTGGCTTGTCACCACCCTCCTCAAAGATGTTTTTCTTTTCTTCCTAACTCTGGGATTTGCTCACCCAAATCTTAACCCGATTTCATCCTTTCTTGCTTTTAGGAGATAAGCAGAGTTGTCTAAGTGCTGCCACCTACGGTAGCTCCGTGTGAGATTTAGAGAACTATCGCCCAATAAATCCACCTGAGTTGATTGCAGATACCCAATACACTTAACCTTGGCCCTCAAAAATGGAAGCAGCACTGCTGGGTATGAATCAGGACCTCCCCTCCCTGAAGAGTTGAAGTTTTTCCCCAGCTAATTTTGAGCCAGCCCTTGAGGGTCTTCTGGAGCCAGTTCCAAAATAAGAGGAAAAACCCTCCAGTCAGTAACCTTAATACAGATATGGACAAGTTTAGCTTGACTTAAGGCTTCAGAGGTGAGGACCTGCCAAGGCTCATCTGTGCAATGGTGAAGAGCACTAGGGGTTTCATCTTCCTTCCTAAGTCACAGTGCATCTCCCAACTTAGTACAATCCTCCCATTGTGATGCTCAGGTATCCTCAAGAATAAAGAAGGAGAGCATCACCCCTTGCCCATCAGCTCAACCTGTAAGGAGACCCTCTGATATCATCAGATAGGGCAATTCTGACACAAGTAGCATGTGTGAGTACATCCATATATGCTTGGCCAGGGGCTGCGAGCCCCAAAGTAAAACTCTGGGCATTCAGAGGGGCTTGATCTTAAATAAATGGGTCAGGGGACCCCGTGGGGAATTGAACCTGTTAAACAGTTTAGTTGGATGGGAACAACCCAGGGAGGCAAGAATTTAGGCTCCAGGTTGCACCCACACATTTCCTGGGTGGAGCCCTTAAATCAAGGGATGATTATTCTCCCCTCATTTTGACGGCCGTCAACGCAAGGTTGCTGTTGTTATTATAATTAGCCAAAACATTTTACTGATCCAGTCAGAGTCACCCCAAACCAGAAGGGCCAAATGCTTGAAAACAAAAAAAAAAAAAAAAAAAAATCTCTCCTGGGTTAATAATAACACCTACAGTACTTTTCTCTCCCCCATTATTCCCACGCTCATGGGTCTGCCTCAGTTTCCCTAGGAGAGGGCCATTCCACACGGCTCCGCTTTTTTTTTTTTTTTTCCCCTTCGCCAGAAAGCAGCGCTCCGACGCAGGTCAGAGAAGGCAAATGTCCTCTTGCTTCGCCCCGAAAGTCGCGGGCACTTCCCGCCAGCAAGTGCCATCCCGCGCGCGCGTCCGCGCATCCCCACGGCACTCTTTTACCCGAGAGTCCAGTCCAGCCAGCGCCGCGCCGTCGTGCGCGGAGAGCGAGGAGCGAAGGTGTGACAAACCGCCACCCCCCCCACATCACCCCCCCACACACACACACATGCACACCACACACACGCGCGCGCACGTAGAGAAACAAACACACACCCACCGGTGCACCTTAGAGTAGGCGAGGATCGGGCCGGCGGTGCTCTGGAATCGGGCGCATTCCTTTGGCGGCGGCGGCGGGTGGAGCGGCGGGCGAGCCCTGCGTTGCGCTGCCCGGTGGCGGCTCTGGGCATCTGCGGGGGGCGGACCGAGGGCGGGGAGGGCGCGTCCTCCGCCGCCGAGCCTGGCGAGCCGGGGCGGGTCTCCGAGTTGGGGAAAGTTCCACGCGCTCAGCCGGTCCCTCGCTCCCTCCGACGGGCAGCTCTGCTCGGCGCACCCCTTTCCCCCGACCGACCGCCCCGCGCAGCCCCAAGTGGCCGGCCGGCCGGGCTGCCGCTTCCTGGCTCGGTTGCTCCGCTGCTTGCCGGTCAGGCGCCGCCCCCCCCCCCCAGCCTCGCTGCCCGCAAGGTGGGCAAGCGGGCAGCCTGACAGCCGACTTCAGGTCGGGGGGCTTCGGCCGCGGGGGTCTCTCTCTGGCTGGGCTGGAGCCCGTCTGCGGAGAAGCCCCCGGAGAGAGAGAGAGAGAGAGGGAGGGAGCCCCCGCCTCCCGCTCGCCTTCAAATCTGCCCCTTGCAAAGGTGGGGCCGGAGGGGAGGGAGGGAGGGTCTCCGCCGCCGCCCCTGCTGCCGCTTTTCCCGGGAAAATCTCAGCTCTGCCCAAGGGATCTCCAGACCCTCCTCCCCCGGACCGGTGGCTGCCGGCCTTCTCTTGAGGACCCGAGGCCGCCTGGGCAGCAGCCTCCGCGCTCAGCCCGATCCTAAAATGTGACAAGGGCTGTGCGCCAATGAGCCTTCAGCCCTCGTTCACAGGATGGGAGTGGGACTATATTGTAAGGGTCTCTGCAGAGTCTCAAGTCATCCAGGTCCTCCCAAAGGTGCTTTTTCACAGGCAACTGGACTTCCTTGTTTTTTCTTTGAGGATGTTTATTATTATTATTACGATTATTATTATTATCTTTTATTCATTAAACATCAAGTCAAATGAACATTCAATTTGGCTGGCGCTGATGGTTGACAGGGGTTGCTACTAGCATCCTAGGTGTCAACCAGGTACGTCCGTAAAATGTAAGATGTTCCGAGTAGCGCAGGTTTTTTTGTAATATTGCTGGAGTTATTGCAGGAAGCTGCAGTTTCTTAATGTATTTTGCAAAGTTGTTGTTGTTGTTGTTGTTGTTGTTGTTGTTGTTATTTTATTCATTAAACATGAACCTCAGTCAACTGAACATTCAATTTGGCTGGCGCTGATGGTTGACAGGGGTTGCTACTAGCATCCTAGGTGTCAACCAGGTAAGATGTTCCGAGTAGCGCAGTTTTTTTGTAATATTGCTGGAGTTATTGCAGAAAGCTGCAGTTTCTTAATGTATTTTGCAAAGTTGTTGTTGTTGTTGTTGTTATTATTATTATTATTATTATTATTATCTTTTATTCATTAAACACGAACCTCAGTCAACTGAACATTCAAATTGGCTGGCGCTGATGGTTGACAGGAGTTGCTACTGGCATCCTAGGTGTCAACCAGGTACCTCCTTAAAATGTAAGATGTTCCGAGTAGCGCAGTTTTTTGTAACATTACTGGAGTTATTGCAGGAAGCTGCAGTTTCTTGATGTATCTTGCAAAGTTTCTTGATGTATTTTACAAAGTATTATTATTATTATTATTATTATTATTATTAACAATAGAGTTGGAAGGGACCTTGGAGATCATCTAGTCCAACCCCTTGCTCAGGCAGGAAACCCTATACCATTTCGGACAAATGGCTGTCCAGTCTCTTCTTAAAAACTTCCAACGTTGGAGCATTCACTGCTTCTGGAGGCAGGTTGTTCCACTGGTTAATTGTTCTAACTGTCAGGAAGTTTCTCCTTAGTTCTAGGTATTAGAAGTATTTCTGATTACACAAATTCTTTGTTTGCTTGTTAAATTTATACGCTGCCCATCACTCCAACAAGGTGACTCAGTTTTTTTTTGTTGCTTTTATTATTAAGAGAGACAGCTGGTTGAGTTGGGTGGCTGTAGAAATTGAATGAATGAATAATGAAATAAAAGAAACTTTGCAGTTTTTAGTCCTTTGGGGAGAGGTTGGCCTGCAAATACAGTTAAGTAAATAAGTAAATTCAAGAGATGGAATATGAACTCACATGGGCTGGGATTGGCTCAGAATTACTAATATGAAATTCGTCGCTCTTATGAAAGGGGCACAGGTTTGCTTGGGCTGTATTCCCTGTATTTGTAATTCATCTAAACATCGGGAGTTGTGGATTTTTCATGCATGAAAGGGGCACAACAAATTATTACAAGCTCTGGAAGGTATGTTCTATTTTTAATTTGCAGCAGTGGGTTTGCTGATTCATTTTGTTTGGCACCGTTCAAATTACATTTTTTTTCTACCTTAGAAACCCAAAAGAAGCTTTACAAGTGATAGAAATGGACAGAGGCAGAGAGAGGCAGAGAGAGAGAGAGAGAGAGAGAAATGAGAGAGAGAAAGAGAGAGAGAGAGAAAGAGAGAGAGAGAGAGAGAGAGAGAGAGAGATCCGTTCTCTGTCCTTTGTTTGATCCAATAAAATAATAAGAAGGAAATTACTTCTCTTTATTATTAATGGATAACTAGGTGGGCGGGGTGATTAAAAGCACTGGACAAAATCCAGGAGACAGTGAATTCTAGTCCTGCCTTAGGTGCAAATCCAGCTGGGTGATTTTAGATCAATCTCTTTCTCTCTCTTTGTCCTAGGAAGCAGAAAGCAAAGGCAAACCACTTATGAAAATCTTGCCAAAAAAACCCTGCAGAGCCATGTTCCTATGGTTGCCAGGAATAAAGATTGATTCGAAGGCACCCCTTCACACTCAAGGAGATACAAGAGAAGGGCAATAGTGGATGAGAGTAAAACCCAGTCTAATCCAACTTGATGCCACTGGGAATTTTAACAGGAGAACATATGGAGAAGGCCAGCAGCTGAAAGACAGAGGCCTGCTACCTGCCTCTGATCCTGGATCTATCCCAAAGGAAGGATAAGGAAATGGGGTGGAGAACAAGCATGTCCCCAGATGCACCTTTTATCTGCAAATCTTTTCCTCTCACTCCCCCCCCAATCTTTCTGGGCTGGGGGAAGATCAAAGCCCCAGAATGCTACAAGAGAATTCAGAGGTAGTATAGATCATCCTCTCTTAGCTGGTGACTCAAGAGGCAGCTGGGAGGGATAATTGAAAGCAGAGAAAGGGGATGCTAGACGCACTGAGGATGTCATATTAGTAACATGGTCTTCCCGCAAGGACCTTTTGTGTGATGATGATAGGTCCCTTAAGCCAATTTCATTTTTGTTCCTAGGACCGATCCTCTTTCCTAATAGTTTTGAGAACTTTTTTTTGTTTGTTTGTTTTACTGCAACCAAATCTAAGTTAGTGCAAACAATGCTCTCTGCAACAATGAGGCTATGGAATAAAAAGTTCAGGCAGCTTATAATTTTAGAAAAACCGAGTTGCCAATCTTGACTTGGAAGAAGGTTAAAATTCCATGGAAGTATATAACAAAAAAATATTGGCAGACACAGGAGAAGGATTCAGCCACATCTTTACTCGTAGAGGGCGGTAATTTTGTATAGGGAAAAAAAAAGAAAAAAGCTTTTGCAGTAGAGTTTTCCAAAAGGCAGATTTTCATCTGCAGCCTGATTCTTATATCCAGAGAAAAGAGGTAGTATGCCAGTACCAATGGGTATACAGATGGCAAGAGATAACACGGCACCAGTGTCCTAATGGACAATCCCTCAAATATGAGCCAGCCGTGTGCTACAGCTGCCAAAAAAGCCAACTCAGTGCTGGGCTATATTAACAGAGGGATAGAATCAAGATCACGTGAAATATTAATACCACTTTACAATGCCTTGGTAAGGCCACACTTGGAATACTGCAATCAGTTTTGGTCACCACAATGTAAAAAAGATGTTGAGACTCTACAAAGACTACAGAGAACAGCAACAAAGATGATTAGGGGACTGGAGGCTAAAACATATAAGAACAAGTTGCTGGAATTAGGTGTGTCTAGTTTAACAAAGAGAAGGACGAGGAGGGACATGATAGCAGTGTTCCAGTATCTCAGGGACTGCCACAAAGAAGAGAGAGTCAAGCTATTCTCCAAAGCACCTGAAGGCAGGACAAGAAGCAACGGATAGAAACTAATCAAGGAGAGAAGCAACCTAGAAGTAAGGATAAATTTTCTGACAGTTAGAACAATTAACCAGTGGAACAACCTGCCTCCAGAAGTGGTGAATGCTCCAACACTGGAAGTTTTTAAGAAGAGACTGGACAGCCATTTGTTTGAAATGGTATACAGTTTCCTGCCTGAGCGGGGGGTTGGACTAGATGACCTCCAAGGTCCCTTCCAACATTATTATTATTATTGTTGTTGTTATTATTATTATTATTATTATTCATCGCACAGTCAGCCAGATGTTCAAACTGGATTTGGCATTTTTGTCTACCTATTGAGTCCTTACCAATGACCTGGGATGATGATGATGATGATTACCAATGGGTACATAGTGTCAAGAGCACAGGGATCATAGTTGCCCTACAGGTTGCACGAATCTGACCATAAGGAGAAAACTGGAAAACTATAATTTTTGGCCATTAAGAGAATCTGGCTTCCCCAATTGATTTTGCTTCTCGGGACCAAACTGGGAAGGTCTGAGATGGTGATTACATAACCCTGGTTTGCAACCCTCATAAATGCATTTTAACTGCGAGGCATCCAAACTTTGATCATATGACCACAAGGATGCTGCAAGGATCATAAGTGTGAAAACCAGTCATAAGTCACTCTTTCCAACGCCCTTGTAACTTCAGAGGGTTGCTGAGTGAACGGTTGCAACTCAAGGATTATCTGTAGTAGAAAGGCTGAGAACTGGAGAAGTGGCTGGGCTTCTCTGCTTCCTCCCTTCCTGTGTCCTGAAGGGAGGGAAGTAAGGCAGGTGATGGGGGGGAGGGGAGTGTCACTGTCAGTCCCAGAGTGAAGGCAAATCAGCCCTGCAACCGTCTCTCCTGACCTTCAGGAATGGAGATGAGCTGAGGGGTGAGCAGAATGGAAGGACCAGGTGGGAAGGGAGGCAGCCGGTCCCATCATAATTTTGTTCTTGATGACCATTAGCTAAAACCGTGGTGCGTGCCACAGGTGGCACGCAGAGCCCTCTCTGCGGGCACACGCACCATCACCCCAGTCCTAGGCCTTCAGCTGGGTTTTTATAAAGCCTTTTCACTTTAGGCCTCCGCTGCATGTACAAAAACAAAAAACAAAAGATTCAATCAATCAATCAATTTCAACTTCTCACGGGAAAAAAAAGATCTCGCAAAGTTGGA